TCTTTCTTTCTTTCTTTCTTTCTTTCTCCCCCCCCATCTCCCTCTCTCTTTCTTTCTTTTTTTGCCAGTCTGGGGGCTTGAATGCAGGGCCTGGGTGCTGTCTCTGAGCCTCTTTGTGCTCAAGGCTAGTGCTTTACAACATGAGCCACAAAGCCACTTCTGTTTTTTTTTTCTGAGTAGATTTTGGAAATAAGAGCCTCATGGACTTTCTTGCCTGGGATGGCTTTGAACTATGATCTTCAGATTTCAGCCTCCTAAGTAGCTAGGATTACAGGCATGAGCCACCAGTGCCTGGCTACACCCTTTCATTTTTAACTACCAAGTATGTGTTATGGAGAGATGGGAGAGAATTATAGTAATGTCATACTGTTCCAGGAATAGGTAAACAAGATCACTTTTTATTTATATTCAATACTGTAGATAGTCGAAGCTAAACTAAAGCTGTATTTTTTGTTATTTTACTACTGTTTTAGAAAAGATTGTTTTAAACTTGTCCCTTAAGTAGTAATAATTTCAAGTACTTAATTTCAAATACTTTAAGGTATTAAATGAGAAAGAAAAATGCTTATTTTTCAGCATGTTCACAAAATAAAATAAAATAAAAAAGAAAAATGCCTATTTTTGCAATGGCTAACATTTTATGATTTCTAGTAATTAAGATAGTTAAAAAGAAAAGACGCTTGTTATAATAACTGGCAAGTATTGTAAACTATCAGTCTGAGAACCTTTTAACATCGTTTGGAAGTTAGAGGAAGGGAGATGTGTTCCAGGCTGATCACATGGTTATCTGTTTATCATCTACACTTTTAGCTTGTTGCAGTGTGCAAACTGATCTCTCACTCTTGATTCAAAACATCCCAATCACTAAATCCTTCAGCGAAAACTCCATCATTTCTACAGGCAATTTGGGTCAATGTGTAGCAATGTGTAGAACAGAGTGTAGAACAGAGAATTTGGGTCAATGTGTAGCAATGAGTCTGTAATTCAGATTAGTCATACTGATTATTTAGCCAGTTTTACCTGCCAGAGAGGGTCTTTCTGATCAGGGAAGAGCTCAAAATACTTTCGAGCTAGTTGTACTGGAGGCAGAGTCTGAAGGCGCAGGTTGGTCCAGGTCTGCACGAAGTTGGCCAGGTTAACAAAGGTATATAATCCCAGCCGGTCATTCCCATAGTTGGACAAATGGGTCATGAAAATACTGATCTAAAAAAGACAAGTGAACTTTAGTGTAAATAAACTAGAAGGTAGTATAAGAAGACAAAATTATTTTTGTTCCTGACAATTACTTACAAATTCTTCTGTTAGGATTTCTTAAAAATTACAGACCCTAATGTGTTTTTTGATGTCAAACATGTCCTAAAATTTTTATTAATGCACAATATAGAATATAGCTAGCTTTAATGAGTATTTATTTCCTGGGATTTTAATATGTTTTTGTAACCAAAAACTAAGTTTTAAATTTAATAGCTGCCATATACCTGTTTACCCAAGATCAGTATGACCAATTACTAATAGCCTAGCCTAGATATTAATGCATGGTACTCTTACGCTACATGAACTATTTTTTTTTTTGTCAGTAGTGGGGCTTGAACTCTGGGCCTGAGTGCTGTTCCTCAGCTCTTCAGCTCAAGGCTAGCACTCTACCACTTGAGCCCAGCACCACTTCCAATTTTCTGAGTGGTTTATTGGAGATAAGAGTTTCACGGAGTTTCCTGCCCAGGCTGGCCTTCATCCATGATCCTCAGATCTCAGCTTCCTGAGTAGCTAGGATTACAGGTATGAGCCACCAGTGCCTGGCAATGTGAACTATTAATATCTGGATCATTAGGCATTCCTCGGATTGAGATTTATTTTGTAAACACAACCCATTTAATTTGGTTAGTGCTGTATATTTCCAGATAAAGAGTATAAATAATCAATGAATTATTATTGGCATTTACTGTATTCCTGTGCTTTATATTTCTAAGAAGCTAGACTAACAACATGTGGGCCTGAATGTTATGCTCCATCAGCAACACCCTCAAACCCTTTTCCATATTAACTGAGTCTGAATCTGCCATTAAACCTTATACAAAATATCTCCTTTAAGAAAAGTCTTCAATGCTTGACTAGATAAAATTGACTCTTGCTATGGAAGCAGCGGACCTAGATTTAATTTATGCATTAAAAAAGCACAGACAATATGGGGAACATTTTATAATAAAAGAAATTTGAATTCAGTCAACTTGGTTAAGAATGTTGGATGGACATTTTTAGAGTTACTGCCTTAACTAATGCAAATAGTTCTTGTTGGTTAGCTGTTGATAAGGGGAAAGAATTCTTCTGTGTGAAATTTTCAATAGCAGAGCCAACTTCTGTGGCATTTATGCTGCTTTAAAAATAAAAATAATTCATATGATAGTAGTACTTCTCTAAAACATATAAAGAAGTAAATGCATAGTAATTATGGTTACTCTATTCATTATAATAATGAATATAACCAGTTACATCAAAATGGTGAGAGAAATGTCAAAAATTCATTGAGATAAATTGGTAGAGATCATGGGGAAAAAGTTATATTAAGAGTGGATATTATATAGAAGAAAATAATTGGTTAAAACTCAGAATAAGAGAAAATAGCAATATCCTGTATTCAATGGAATAAGTCCTATAAATCACGTAGGCTTTCTCAGTTGAAGTCAGCTGTGATCAAGAATATTTTACTGATTTCTATTCACTCTGCTAGAAAATTTATGAAATCTCAGGACTTTCACAAACAGGATACTTGGAAGATCATTTTCAACAGCTACCAGAATATTGATGCAATCATGGAATTGATAAATACGATTTTTACCCTTTTAGAAAGTTATGAAACATGACTTTCAAGTTTTTACCTTTCTGACTAATTTTTCTAAGTAGCTTCAATTCTGTGATTCTGAGATATCATATTAAGAGCCTTGCTGTGTAGTCCAAGCTGGCTTTGAACTCACAATCCTATTGCTTCAGCCTTCCATGCTAGGATGTATGTTCCATCATGCCTCGCTGTTGTGATTTTTATTATCCCTCTTTTATTCTTTGAAAAGTTATCAAAGCCCATGGCAATTGAGAAACTTATGAATATTATTCTTACATGTAGAAGTTCTTTTCTTTTTTCATATATATATATATATAATTATTTTTTTGGTCATGGGGCCTGAACTCTGGGCCTGGGTGCTGTCCCTCAGCTCTTCAGCTCAAGGCTAGTGCTCTACCACTTGAGTCACAGCACCACTTCAAGTTTTCTAGTGGTTTCTGCCCAGGCTGGCTTTGAACTATGATCCTCAAATCTCAGCCTCCTGAGTAGCTAGGATTATAGGCATGAGCCACTGATGCCTGGTATCTATTTTATATATATTTTTAATTTATTGTCAAGGTGAAGTACACAGGGGTTTTAAGAGATAGCCTTTATTTTATATGCCACATTTTTCAATGTAGCATAATAACATGGTAGAATGATAGTTCAAATTACATTTCTTCTAAGAAATTTGAATACAATTGTGATTAAAATATGTATGACCCTAGTTAGATGCTAGTTGAGATTTCTTGTTTTATTTTTTATGAATGATCTACTAGTCAATCTATTGAAGTTACTTGAATACCATTTGCACTGAACAAAAAAATGGGAAATGAGAGATACCACAGATGGTGACATGAATATACCTGAACCATTTGAACTCACCATTTGACCTCACAAGAAATGTTACTCTGGGATAGAGTACTTCTTTCCTACCTGCATGACCAAAGAAAATAAAAAATGCTAATGTCTCTGATAAGACAGGCTACTCAAAATGAGTTGTGAGCTAGTTGATGGCATTGCTTTTGCTGATATTGAGCCTGATTTGCAAGAATCATAGGAGTACTTGTAAGACTGAACTTAATTCTATAGAAGAACTGAACTTTAGCCTTCAAGGGTAGAACCTTGAAATAAGCCATCTCTTTATATCTTTGACTTTGTCCTGTGCAGTGGTTACAAACGTGGGTTCAGCTACTCACTGGTTCTGTGATCTTTGCAAACTATTTCAACTTTCAGTACTTTAACTTGCTTATCTAAAAGAAAAATAAACAAACCATCTAACAACAATACCTATCCCAGAGGGTTGTCACAATTAGGTAGGAGTGAAAGTAACGCCTGTCATGTAGTAATTGCCTAATAGATAATAGCTGTTACTGTTATCTGCGTCACTGTCATTTTGGAGAAATGCTGTGCATTTATAGCTTCTTCCCAGCAGCTCATCAGCTCATCCTTATGAGTATATCCCCCCCCCCAATTCTCTCAACTCGCCAGAGAATTATGAGACAGATGTGTGCCTGCATCTGTCTTCAGATCACTTCCTCTGTCAGGCAAAATCCTGTCATCAGTGACTTGAACTTCTCTCCAGCCATCACCCTTAGATTCCTTTGTCATCTCTCTGCTTTCAGTGCCCTGTAAATTTAAGACTGCAAGCCAATTTTTTTCCATCTAATTATTTCACAAACACATATGGATGGTGGGGTACAGATACAGAGAATGCACAACGGAAGCTATTCCTATTGCAAAGCATATGGTCTCCTCCTCCCCCCCCCCGCCCCCCATGGCATGCTCAGTACTAGTGCATATTCTTCTTATTCGTTTCTGTTACCTCACTGTTCAACTGCTTTTTATTGGAGATTTCCCTTCCCTTCCCTTCTCTTCCCTTCCCTTCCCTTCCCTTCTCATCCCTTCCCTCTCCTTCCCTTCCCTTCTCTTCCCTCCTCTTCCCTTCCCTTCCCTTCCTCTCCCCTTCATTCTCCAACCCTCCTCTCTCCTCCATTCCCCTTCATTCCTGTCCTGGCCCTTTGGCTCGGTGGTCTTTCATATCCTTAGCTAATCACCCTAAAACTCACAGAAGAGCAGAGCTCAGTGGGCAGGAGCTCTTTCAAGCCCCACCCGTATCTACACACTTGCGTCTTTTTAGAATTCCTCCTGACACCTGCGATGTCAGGTTGAAGTATTCCATTTTTTTTTAACCAGTACTAGTATATTTGTCTGTGTTTTTCATCCTATCTGCTTTCAGCTCCATGAGTTCTAATCCATCTAAGTAAGAGTTAAAAAAAAAACCCAGAACTGGAGATGTGGCTCAAGTTGTAGAGGGGCTTTGATCAAAAGAGCAAAAAGGACAGTGCCTAGGCCTTGAGTTCAAATCCCCCTCCTTCCCACAAAAAGAGGTTATATAATTCCGAATGTGTCTCCCTCAGACCATTTTCGTTCATCTCACAGGTTTTCATTTTGTCCGATACAAGGCAGACACCAACCTACTGTGTTTCTGCAGAGAACACCTTTCAAGGCTCTGATGCACACAGCCAGCCTCAAGCCAGCACAGCAGGCCCTTGCTCCTCTGCTTTTCCATGGGTGTGTGTGGGTATGTGGGGTCATGCTGGCCACGTAGCAGCACCCTTCTTTCCCAAGTGTTGCCAAAACTTGACCTTTACATTCTGGCAATGGACGGGAAATTTTGGCAGGGGACCTCTCTGGTTGTTCGCATCTTTCATGTTCTGGGCTGCAATTGTTGCATGCCAACAAGTACTTTTATTGATTTTGTCACCTTCTCCAAGGGAAGCAAAGAGATGTCACTTTATTTTTAAGGGTTAGATTCATTGAGTACTGGTTTATTTACCTGGCCATGTGCCTTAGTCATCATTAAAAAATCTCCAAGGGAAGCTCAGTTGCAGAATAATTTGGCAAAGAGCTCTAAGCATTTCGAGCTAGAGATCTGATGATAGGCTTTAAATGAAATTTGGAGGGGTCAGTCAATTGCTCTCAATTAGGGACAGGTTACAAAGATATAAAGATGAGGTCAATGTAATTCAAAGCAATTTAGCCTAAAGTGGTTTGCTTTTGCTTTTTTACAAATCACATTTATATCTCTCACGTAATTTTCCTGGCTGTACATTCAGAACTGCAACCTCAGTCTTTGTATTACAAGGTAATGATGGATGATCAATTAACATTTCTGCGAGTTGCCAGGAGTGATTGCACTGGATTAATGCTTCACTATTGCCTTAGCTTCCGAACAAATGTTTACATGCCACATGAAACTGTCTCCAACTCTCAGACCACCAATCTGCAATTAATTTTGCATCGTGTCCATGGTTTGTGCTCTTCTCCTATTGTCTCTACGTGAAACTGCAAGCCCTCTCTGCAGTGATTTAGAGACCAGACACCAGAT